TTCCATACTACCCATCTTACGTGTAGATAGTGCCGAGGAAGCGATCGATTCCATTCTAAAACGAGAAAAACCACTAGCTATGTATGCATTCACACATGATAGACACGTACAAGACATGTTTATGAACGTATCTGCAGGCAGTCTCCAGTTCAATGATACCATTACATTCATGCTGAACGAGAATCTTCCTTTTGGAGGGGTAGGGAATTCAGGCAGCGGTAAGTACCATGGTTACCAAGGGTTTGTAGAGTTCAGTCACATGAAGTCTATTATGATCAACTCGAATCTGAACGACTTAAAGGCGCGCTTCTCACCCCAAACAAACGTCGACATGGCTGTGATGAAGCTCGCACATCGCCATATTCCTGCGGTTGTCGTGAGCAGTCTAAACCAAATGCACTACTTTGCTTTCATAACCGTCGCAGTTGGTGCTGCGGCCTTCATGCTTGGGAAATATATATGAACACCTGCCAGCTATCAAAGGCAATGAAGTAAAGTCATAACCGTGTAATTGTTTCTTCTGACTATTGTATTTCACAATCATACAGCCTTTTATATATGAGATAAGTCTCTACCCACCACATTCATATCGCACGTATCGAGTCCAGTTTACATTCTCTGGTGACTGGACTGGTGGATTACTGCTTGCATTGGTAGCACCCGGCCACCCGCCGCTTCTGTATAGTGTAGACTTTTTAAAATACAAAGCCATATATAGAGCCGCTGTAAAACTCGTCATATAACATTTTAAAACACAGCCTTTAACGTAATAGGCAACCTTGCTTGGTGCCAGGTTTGCTGACGATATCCCAGACAAGATATATATATCTTTTTTTAAGTAGTGTAGGAGTGTACATGTTATAATCAGTGGATTTTTTTCTTGTAATATTCCGATGGTCGGGTTTTATGAAACATACTGCACTTTGGGACTATTAAAAGTGTTAAGATGCAAATACAAACATCAAACCGCTCTAAGTACTAATATTTGTAAGAGATCAAGTTCACTTTAATCCTTTTTATGAGCTAAATTGTACATTGAATACGATTTATCCTTGGTCACTTCTTTTATAACCGGTACAAACGGTGGTAATGCGAGTGGAGGCAATTCCGATCCTTCGTGGCTGGTCTGTGGTGCATAGGTTATATAAATAGTGTATACTCAATTTGAGGATTTTTTCTCTAGCGAAGTACATTGACTATTTGTTTATGATACGTGTATTGTTATA